AGACGCTGAGCGTAGATGATGAGGAAGACGCTGAGCGTAGATGATGAGGAAGACGCTGAGCGTAGATGATGAGGAAGACGCTGAGCGTAGATGATGAGGAAGACGCTGAGCGTAGATGATGACGAGGAAGACGCTGAGCGTAGATGATGACGAGGAAGACGCTGAGCGTAGATGATGACGAGGAAGACGCTGAGCGTAGATGACGAGGAAGACGCTGAGCGTAGGTGAGGAGGATGATGTTTTATTTTTATCTCACCAGGAGGATGAGAGCGGTGCGGTGAGTCAGTCTATGGTGGCAGACAGCGCCCCCTCCAGGGCGCCAGCTGTGGTGAAAGCCAAGGCCTCCTCCGTCATCATGAACTCTCTCATCACCAGTATGTGAGCTCTGTTGACTCCCAGATGTTCTGATAGTTATTCTCTCTGTGATATAAAGTTCTGCTCCTCTATAGAAACAGAACCATGGGGACCAGAAGTAGAGAACTAGAACATGTCTCATTCATAAGTCATTAACAACCATTTCATTCTTTTTAAATACACCTTTTGAATGTTTGATCTTTAAACATTGTCTCTTTCTTTCAACTGTCTCTCTCAGAGCAGACTCAGGACAGCGTCTACAGGTTTGAGCAGAGGGCGGGGCTTACCGACACCAGCTACACCCCCCACAAAGGTCTCACCGCCGAGGAGACCAGGGTCCACCACCGCATGCCAGAGTCCCTCCAGGTGAATCATGGGAAACGTTAGAAACTTAAAGGCCAAGACGTAAAAGGCTTAAATCAGTAGTACACCTGTAGTTGGTCAGCTACTTGGTGATGTCATCACTAAAGACGGAATGTTGTTGTTGTTTAGAAACTGCAGATTCAGAGTTTGGAGGCCAGAGAAGATCGACAGAGCTCCTCAACTCAGTCCACTCCATCCAGCACTCCTCACAGCTCCCCAAAGCAGCACCGCAGGTACACACACACACACACACACACTCCTCACAGCTCCCCAAAGCAGCACCGCAGGTACACACACACACACTCACAATCCATCTTGATCAGAAAATGACTGAAACACTGAAAACCTTTAAGCTGTTTAACACTTTGTGTGTGTGTGTGTGTGTGTGTGTGTGTGTGTGTGTGTGTGTGTGT